AATTATGTAATAAAAATATCATAAATTTTGTAATTTACTTATAATTATAAAAATTATATAAAAGTAATATTCTATAAGATATCATATTAATAATATGGAAAAAATTATATAATTATTAATATATTTGTAATTTATTTATAATATAAATAGTTATGTAATATATGTGTATAAACCGTATTTTTACATATTATATTTATATAAATAATATAAAATAATTTTTATTAATATTACGTATATTAAACTTCCTGATGAATATTGTTAAAATGTCATTATTAATTACAACTGGCGAAGAATATCGTCAATACATAGCTTAATTTTGGAAGTGCTTTCATCGATTAGGTGGTTGGTTATAATACGTATATGTGAGCTCGAGTTATTTTAATAAGGAAGTTTGCTTAAGCAAAAAATTACTTACTTGGAATGAATTGAGGGATTCGAGTAATATCCCGCTCACCATCCCATACTTATCCAACACCTCACTCAAGTCTTTCTTAGCTCAACTTTTATATTCAATAATGTGCTTTCGTAGGCATTACGATATTTATGTGTATAATAAATTGATAAGTAATATAAGTAATATAATGGTTCGCGATTGTTTAAACAATCACGCATAAAGTTTATAATAGCATAAATAAATATATATATTTACCAATTTATATATCATGTTTTGTCAAAAATGCCACATATCCATTTATGGAATGTAAAATGCTGCCGGATTACAAACAAAAAAAAACCTAATATTGGTAATAAATAGTGAAACAAATGTCTTCGTTTAGAATTACACCCTTTTTTAGTTTTAAAACCTTGTCTTCTGACAATAAATTATATTTCTGGAATTATTTAGAAGCCTTGCTGAGGACGAGCAATCTTTCAAAACAGTTATACGACACGTTCCTAATTTCTTACAAGTATAGTTCATATGTTATACCATTTTAAAGCTAACAATGCAGCTAAATTTTGTTCTGATATTTTAGAGACCGCAGACAAATATTTCTTCAAAAAAACAGGAAACCAATAAATTTAGACATAATAGTAAACAGAGCGAACTTTACACTGAATACGATTTGGGACGGGCTTTGCCTGTTTTACATGATCCATATTGGATAAATTCTGAAAACGTTGAAGTTTCTCGAGAAGCAAATACAATTTCTTTTTCTACATCAGAAGCAGTTGGCGAGATAGATAGCAATGTTAGAGACAAAATCTCATCGATTTCCAGTTGTAATCAATGTGATGTAGAAGTCCGAGTGACAGAAAATCCTCAATGTCTCATTTGGGGTGACACTAATAGACTACACAAAGATCAAACCAGAAATGTTAAACCTTCAACAGAACAACGACCTTTTGAATCATCATCTCCTCCCACTAGATGAGAAAGGGAATCTGATCCTAGAAAAGGAATCCTGGAAGTTCGGCAATTGTGTCAAGACCTACCCATTGACTCATCTAGCAATATGGAGACAAGACTTGCCAATCAGACTTCACTCAATCTCAACACTAACACAGGAAGTGATACCACCTTGTGACAATTGCATCATGGTCCTGATACACAATACTCCCAGGATATTCCCTTACTTCTTAATCTATTAAAAAGTAATACTCGTTTTAAAGAAATAAGCAGTGATAGAGTCTTGTATGATTGTGAAATTACAGATTTCATTGAAGTTTATGGTATTTCTAATAAAGTCTACCTTTTCTCATAAGTACTGATGGCTTCATCTTTTGGTTAGAAGACACTGCTGGTGCTATCTATATATGGTCTTATATGGAAAGTAGCATGCAGTATGTAGGACCAAACTAAAGAGAAGTTTTGATAAACTATCTTTTTCACCAGGATAATATTTGTTATATCATTGAGGAAACTCAAGAAGTTATATCAAAACAACAACTCAATCAAGAAATTAGTGAAATGGCAAATTCAATCAAAATTATTAAATGGGTAGTAACTAAAGAGTGGCTCAAACCATTAAAAGGAGATGGAAAAAGGAAAAAAAAAGGAAGAAACAAAAAAGAAGGAAAAAAAAAGAAAAATAAACGTTAATATCATGGAAATAATCACTTTTTTTATGATTTTATTTCCAATATCAATTATATTATAATTGTACAATACCATATAGCTTTATAATTTTATAATACAATGTTGCGTAACTTGCTTATTATAAAATATTTTACATAAGCATATTTGAAATAATAAAAACTTGAAATTTAACTGCAAATTTATTTACGTAAAATATTTATAATGTTTTTTTTTATTTATATTAAGAGTGAAACATTTATAATATATTTTAGCAGAGATGTTTTCACAATTAAATGAAATTATGATGCTAACAAAGATGGAGAGAGTGCTTATTTGTATTACCTAGCAAGAATAAAAATGAAATTCTTATTCTGTGAAAAGTTTCGAAATTTCAAGTGAAATTGTATTAAAAGGAGATAATAGCTCGAATTAAATTAAATCTTTATGGCAGGTTTCTTTTAAATATTTTAGATAAATAATAATGGACATTACCTTTTAGTATTTTGTTTTTAATTTCAAATAAAGCTTTTGGGAATATTAAAAAAGAAGAATAATTTAGATTAGTTTCGGTATAAGTATCTATATTGTATTACTTGCAATATATAAATAAATACAAATAATAAATTGAAAATAAATGAGTTTCATACCATCACATTACATTATCGAGATATCTATCTACTCATTTATTAAATCATTAATCGTTTATTACTCTCAATTTATTTGATTAAAACATAACCTTTTTTTTAATCAGAACTACTAATCTAAACTTAAAATGCTACCTTTTAAAATCGGTCGTTATTATACAATCTGTTCAGAAGATATGCACTTTATGATGACATAATGCTCAGTTCTTTCCAGCAAACAGATCCAAATCGAATATTTCTCAAGCTACCATTTCAATTTCAATATGTAGTTTGTACAATCGATCTTATATGAAGACATGAAAAGGGTAGATGTAGAATTTATTATATTATGATTAAAAACTCAATTGACAACCAGGCCCTACTGCAAGAATAATTTTATAATCTTGGGTAAGATAATAATATAATGGTTATAACAAATAAAATAGATATAAAGTAGTTTAATATACTAAATAATGATATTTTCTACTTACTAATTATTCGCCCATAAAACTATACATCGATATTTTACTGGATTTATTATCAGAGTTGAATTTTCCAGGATGTTTCGTCATTACCAGGATATATCATTTAAAAATCTTAATGGAAATTATTTCTCAATGAATTTATTCAAAATTGCTTAATATTAAAAAAATTATAATTCTAATTAAAATAAAAAGTTATTTTGAAAATGACATTCATTAAATTATTATCTGTAGTCCTCTTTTTTTTAGTAGCAGCCACTTGTTTTCTTAATATAGACACCAAAATAAATGTTATTGAATTTTATATCTCCTCTTGTGAATAAAAATCAGTCATATTTTTTCAAAAATTTTAAAAAGTTCTAGCCATTTTTCATTGCTTTTTTTGTATTTTGAGCACTTAAATTATTTTTTGATCAGTTAAATTGCTATTATTTAAAGCTAACTGACAGTTTTAATTGTTTATTATTATTATATAGTTTCTTTTAATTTTTAAAAAGTTTATTAATTGATAAAGTTAATAACACTAATAAAACATGTATTAAATTATTATTTATCATTGGCGTTAGTAATCATAAAATACCGATATCAATGAGATAACAGCGGAGCCGTGATATTTCTGATTTTGCAGTAAATAACTATTACATATTCTATACTATACAAGCATCAGATTTTATATTTATCATTTTTTATCAATTTTTACGAGTTATACATGCATTTACAATATAGTTTAAAGGATATCGTCGTCAATTTTATATCTTAAAAAAATTTATGTAAAAATGAGATATAAGATAACCATAATAATTTAGTTGAAGTTCTATGATTTCAATTCGAACTATCTAAGCTATTAAGGTTCATTTTTTAAGATTTTCATTATTGCATACCATAGATTTTTTTACTTGATATCAAGTATTTAGCTTTGCAATGTTTCCCATTAAAGCCAAAAAACAAATCCTCTATAGTTAAAATTTGTACCTGCTGTTCCTACGATGGTTGACATTTGCCATGTCAATCTCGAAGCTGTTTTACTAGTTCTTTATCATCTTCATCAGAATATCGCTATATTTATGCTTTTAAAATCAATTCATAAGTAGTGAATCTGCACTTTCCGGCTTCTTTTCATCAAGAACTAGAATGCATTTAAAATTATGGATGAATATATCTAAAACAAAAATTTTAGAGAATTGATAAATACTTAAATGCTCATATATTTAATTAAATCACTTACAATATAGGAACTACATAATTCCCAAAGAAACTCAGGTAAAATAATTTGGATTATTATAAATAATATAATTTTGATTACAAAATTTGTAAAGAATCCCTACAAATAAAAAGCAATTGAATGAATCAAACTAATTATAATTGAGCTAATAAATTAAAACATTACGGACATAGTAAATCATATATGATTTTAATATACAATTTTGTTACGAACTGAAAATGAAGTCATATTAATAATATTTTATTTTAGAGTAATTATAAACTATTAGTCATTGAAGCTTATTGAGAGTAAGTTACTGTTATTTAATATTAACATTAAAATTATTTAAATATTTGACGGCTGAGGTTTATGATCGGTTAATTTATAAATTTAGCCAAGCTAATGGAATATTTTGTAGGAATTTTTAATTTTAATTTTTTAATTCTGTCAAAATTTAATTTTGGCCTGAAATAAATTATTTAACCTAAAAGATCTAATAGGAATTAAGCCACGATTATACAACTTTAGCAATGTAGCAATGATTACTTTGTGATTTTATCAAAATGACAAAGAAGTCTTATTTTAGCATTTTATTATTTCTTATCTTTAATATAGTTTTTCTTATTTTTCTTATTTTCTTATTTTCATTGTTTATTATTGCATAAATGCTATGTACATTTAGTACATTATTAGAGAAGATATGATTTTGATGCGATACGTATTTGATGATCTATTCTGTATTTATTCAGTTTTTCACTCAATTTGTATAATTAGTTATACAGATCTTCATTGATCTATGTATTTGTGGCTGATTTCGGTAATGCAACTCGTGTAAATTGAATCTGAAGTTTATATAGCTATTTATTGCTACAGCTACAGCTACAGCTATTGCTATTGCTATTGCTATAAGCTTCTATGTATCATTAGAATAAATTCATAATTT